ATCTCTGTGATGCACCATAGAAACAAGATTACATTGTAGATTAAATAACATAAAGGAAAAATAGCGATAATTGAACTACCTGTACTCAAATGGTCTTTAAACAACTTGTACTTAAACGTCTTGTCCTCTACGTTGAACAACAAGGGGTACATGCAATAGAATGTCTCTTAAGACCAACAAAACGTATAAAATGAACAGCTGTGGCTAAAAACGTCCAACTGCACAACATAAAGTGTATATTTTTCTCCGGTGTTTTAAAATAGAAGGACGCATTGCAGGTGTCAGAGGCTGGCCAGAGAAGTAAACCGAAATAAAATAATACTTGGTTGTCAGAATTAAACTTAGATGATAAAAATAAAAGTCTTGTACCTAAGATTAAAAAAAAATGGCAAGATAAAACCAGTATAGAAACATTACTAGGTGAACCGGGCAGTCCCCAAAAAATAAATTCACATCATGTATTAAATATAAATTCACAGTATTATTTGTTTTCAAGATTCATCATGAGAGCCTAGTACAGAAAGCTCCCAACCTGGTGCGCACGAAAAACACTTGGGGCCTATAGTACAGTACAAGACTATACAAGTACTTGTCTGCTGCACTGTACGGTCTGTTCTCCTCTGTATATCGTTGATGATGTAATGCATTTATTGATGTTGATTATGCACTTAAAGACATTTGCTCTGAAGTGTAGTAATACATTATAAACATCAACCAGACCTTAGTTATTGAAGTGTATTAATACATTATAAACATCAACCAGACCTTAGTTATTGAAGTGTATTAATACATTATAAACATCAACCAGACCTTAGTTATTGAAGTGTATTAATACATTATAACCATCAACCAGACCTTAGTTATTGAAGTGTATTAATACATTATAAACATCAACCAGACCTTAGTTATTGAAGTGTATTAATACATTATAAACATCAACCAGACCTTAGTTATTGAAGTGTATTAATACATTATAAAAATCAACCAGACCTTAGTTATTGAAGTGTATTAATACATTATAAACATCAACCAGACCTTAGTTATTGAAGTGTATTAATACATTATAAACATCAACCAGACCTTAGTTATTGAAGTGTATTAATACATTATAAACATCAACCAGATCTTAGTTATTGAAGTGTATTAATACATTATATAAATCAACCAGACCTTAGTTATTGAAGTGTATTAATACATTATAAACATCAACATCTCCTTTAAGTGTAAATTATGAGGAAAAAAAAAATACTTCAGATTTTCGTAGAATTAATAAAATCCTTCATATATATTTTTAGTATTTTTATATTTACATAAAGTTTGTGAAGGTCTAGACATGAGAAATAACCGAGACACAACACAGTGGTAGAGCCAGTGACCCACCCCCCTCCCCTGCCTTGGGTATAGTCTACGTCCCTCTCTATATATAATTTCCTGTAACCCAGAGCTAAGATTTCCCTGAAGCCAACACACACACACACACACACACACACACACACACACACACACACACACACACACACACACACACCGTCTGCAGGAACACCAGTGCGTTTTGTATTGACGATTTTTTTTTTATGTTCTGGTTTTAATTTTGTAATGTCTTCGTAACGTGACATTCATTTCTTTGTGTGTGTGTGTGTGTGTGTGTGTGTGTGTGTGTGTGTGTGTGTGGTTGAGAATGCACAATGAAGAGAAATAATCATTTAAATTACATCTAGTGACATAGGAGGAGTGGGTCGCTTAACATAAAACTTTCAATACAAAAAAAGAGGAGAAAGAAATACGAGTTAAATTACTTTGGGTTTGATAGTTTTCACCGTGGTTGTATAGGGGTGGTGTGGCGGGCAGCAGAAGACTTTGTTGGGCAGCGACGAGGTGATCTATTCTTGAGATCATCACTTATGTGAGGTCGTAGGAACAGGTGTGTCTTAAGTTGATGCTCGGGAACATAATGTCTGTGTGTGTGTGTCTGTCTGTCTGTGTGTGTGTCTGTCTGTCTGTGTGTGTGTGTCTCTGTCTGTCTGTGTGTGTGTGTGTCTGTCTGTGTGTGTCTCTGTCTGTCTGTGTGTCTGTCTGTGTGTGTCTCTAAATAGATTAAATACTATGTAAGCTGTATAGATGTCTTATTGTTTACTAAAAATAGATGAGAGAGAGAGAGAGAGAGAGAGAGAGAGAGAGAGAGAGAGAGAGAGAGAGAGAGGAATCACGCGAAATGGTGACAAATGGCTTTAAAACAAGGAAGAGCCAAAGGGAGTATCAATGTATTAGGGAAAGACAGAGGAAGGGAGGATGAAGAAAAAGTGAGATAAAAGAAGGTAGGAAGGAGGTGAAGGAAAAGAGAATAATAAAAGATAAAGAGGAGAAAAAGAAGAGAGAAGGGAGATGAAGAGATATAGAAGAAGAAAGAAGAGACAAATAAGATGAGGAGGACGAGGAGGAAAAAGAAAAGAGAGAGAAAGGAATTGGAAGAGGAAAGAATAAAGAGAAGATAGAATAAAAG